TTTAGGGTCTGTGGTTAACATGAGTGATCACCATTAATGGTTAACTTTAGGGTCTGTGGTTAACATGAGTGATCACCATTAAAGGTTAACTTTAGGCTCTGTGGTCAGGGTTAGGCTCTATAAGGCTAGTCAAAGTTAAATTTAGGGTCTAGGATGGTTAGTTTCATGTAATTCTCATCTTGTAAAAACACATCATCCTCCTCCGCCCCATCTCGCACAGAACAAACATAATGATGCTTGGTCAAGCATCAACACCTTGACGCAGGGGGCATGAGAATGGGCTCACTCACCACACCTGCAGGAGTGGCCATAAAGGTCTGTGTGATGCAGGTGGCAGCTGAAAGGGGCCTTGGCACTCTGATCCTGGCGTTTGGGACATGTTTATTTTATTTATGTTTTTATTTTTATTTGTTTCTTTCGGGTCAGTACTTTAGTTTGTTCATGGAATGAAAATGAATCGAAGGAATATAAATTTAGTATTTTGTCTTGATATTAGCAATTTATCAGAATAAGTTCTAAATCTTCAACTTTGAAGAACAATACTACTTTTAAGTTTATTTCACACAAAGTTCAGTCGATTATTGATTATTACGCAGAATGATTAACATTTTAATAAATTAGTCATTTGTTTTATGGTTTGTTTGTTATTTCAATAACTGATCTTCAACAAAAAATTGGAGTTTCTACAAGACACAAACACAAACAGAATGTTTGTTATAAAGCTCAAAAGTTCATATGTGGGCCATGTGTGACTTTTTAAATCGTTTTGGAAAACAAATTAAACTAAAATTTGTCATTAATCAGACATTGATTTTTTTATGCAGTTGCACATTTATTTATTTATTTATTTATTTATTTATTTATTTATTTATTTATTTTTCATTAGTGCATTTGTTGCGTTATAATAGTTTATTTTGTGATTATGTAAATCATTAAACGATTTCCTTCAAAGCTTTTTGAGTGGTCGCTGCTGATGGCCGTTGCCTAGTAACGGAAGTAGCTTTCCTCTCGGTTCTGAGAGACACTTGTCTGAAACCCAGACGCATCCCACGTGAGGGGGAGTTGAGG